AGGAGAGATGTATATATATTAGTATCAGTAATTTACAAACTATATATTGGGAACATAAGAAACAATGGCCACTCGGCCAACTCAATCTTGGGATAAACAGATTTGCCTTGCTGGCGTCTGACACCCAATTAAAACGAAAAAAAATATCATAAAAAAAAAACAATTTGAGCTTTTTGCTAAATCTTACAGAAATAGAAATGAAAATCCAAATACGTTGTAATATCGTCCGTGATATAATAACAATAAACTAAGTATAATTGCTTTGCAATTCATTCCGCATTAAAATGGTATGCAAATACATCATGAAAAATCACAGAACACGCGACGCATGTCTTTGCCTATTCAAAAAAATACTTTTAACGCGGTGTCTGTAAAGTGAATTCAAAAATACCATTAAAACACTCAATTTATTAAAATGGTACAATATATGCCCCTATACCTAATCGACCTAAGTGAAGAGGAAAAGGCAGGAAGAACTTATCAATGCAAGGAGTTGGTTAGTGAACAAATTTTCCAAAAATACTAGTTCTGATAAGTACCAAATTCTCAACCAAATAAGATCTCTAATGGCATTCTCGTTAAGGCTTAGAACTATGTTTTCCAAAACCTTATGCGATGCAAAAGCATGCGGGACAATTAACTTGTAAATCATACTGCAAAACGCTGTAACAACCCAAAAATATGCAATCGCTGCAATCGCTGCAATCTACCTCCCCATAATCTTGAAACTGCGATTTATTTGACCCTGAATCTGCAAGAATATATATATGTATTTAGGTAATTGTATAGAAAATTGTTTGTACCACCATGTGGTTCGCAAAATACTAAACCAATACTTTCCATCATTTCAAATTAAAACTACCGTCAACCTCGACATTGAACAACAGCGATCCGTGGCAGCTAGCTTAACCGAGTGTTGGAACACCTTGTTCATGCCACTAAAAATACGACATGTTATAAAATGTTCCTGATTAAGCCATTGGATTATACACTACAGCTATGAGCGAAATCGGACTACAACCACGCCTATTTCCCATATAACACAGTTTTAAATTGCATCTTATTCTTTCACTTTCCAGTATGCAAATCAAGCAAGCAGTATGGCACCTTGTGACCAAAAATTGTCTTAATCGAACCAAAACTGTTCAAGCCTGAATATGTGGACCCCAGTGCCTATAGTTGACTTTTTACCGAAAATATCGGTCAGTTGTAAGAGATATAATTGGAATTCATATAATCGAATAAATAAATGAAACTCTCGATAATCTCATGTGTTTGTGTTAAAAATGAGTAGAATCGGATCAATACTTCCTATAGTCCTCATATACCTAATATAAAGATTATTGAACTTCCGCGTGACTTCATACCGCATATATCGGCCAATATTTGAGTTATCACGATTAAAATGAGAGAGCGTGTTTTGCTCATAACAAGGTATCTTTGTGCCTAACATAGGGCAAATCGGGTGAATTTTAGGTAAATGGTAAATTTTACCTAGCCCCCATGTAACTACATGTAATATCAGGATTTTCGAACATTCGTCTGACTTTACTCCATATGATTGGTGATGGTATATGAGGTACCTTAATGAAACAGTGGGAGAATTTTATTAGTCTGTGGCATGTTAGTAGTATGTGGTATTGGCAAAAATTGATAAAATCGGGTTAATACTACCCTCAAGTTCCATATACTACTTATAATGCTTTTCGTTCAAACCAGTTTTAAGCCGAATATGTCGGTCAGTGAGTATCAATATTTTTTTAACTTCCCGCTAAGAAAATGGAAAATTTTCTAAAAATCGGGAAGATATTGGTTTCACCCCATTTTGCAAAAATCGAGTTCTCAACAGATCTCGACGTTTTGAGGGTCGAGGAAGCTTCCCCGAACATTTCTACGAT